GAAGGATGACATAATATTGTATTAATATACATGTCCGCGTGCTATCGTGCAGCTAGGAAGGTTAATGGATGCTGCGGTAAAACCCATGGGTGAATGTATCAGTTTGCAAAGAGGAATCTAATATTTCTCAAAGTCGTTCTCTATATATTTACCATTCGTCCGTGATGCGTGCTTCCTGTTTAGAAAATTTTCATGCAGTTGCGTCAATACGCATTTCGGATCGCGGCGATTAATCGGTTAAATGCGAATATTATGTGTTAGAGATAGATTCAATACAAAGTCTTTGTCTTAATTAAAAATTATGTGTATCATAATGTAAAAAAATAATTAAAAAATAGAATTTTTTAAGAGTAATTTTTAATATTCTTAAATATTATATAATCTAAAAAAATATAAGCATACACACAGACATACAAAAAATATATAAATAGCGATTGATTTAACGCTATCAAAACGCACGTTGTGCAAGAGATTGAAATGATAAATAATAAAACACAACGATTATTATTTAGCTTGTATCATGCTTTTTTTCTTACATTATGTTACAATACATTGTGTCACATTCGCGTTGCACTCATTATATTGCGCTGTGTTGCATTACATTGCGAAGAATTTGAATTTGCATAGCACACCTGTGTTAGCATCGCGCTTATGTATTTACGTATTACGTTAAATAGTAAAAATCGAAACGCCAACGTTCACCGACCAACGATCGTCATTGCATTCGCATTGCATTACGCGTGTATTGCATTCGCATCACGTTTTTACGTTACGTCGGCATTATACGACGTTACGTCGTATTGTGTGTCGCACTAAAGTTGTGTTCGTGTTATATTACGTCGATATCATATTCGCATCATACATTGATTTGCTTTCTTATCAATTGCCAATTTAAAGTGAGATTATATACAGAGTATGATTATACAACATATAAAGTATGATTATGTAATATATAGAGAAACTGATAAGTTTTTGCATTAACTTGTACATATTTGTGTGTGCAATATCATACAGAATCATTAATCTCTGCTTACGCGTAATGCGTTCTTTTATACGTCCGACTTTTAATAGCAATCATCAAATTAATTTATATAATTAATTTATTTCGTAGACACGCATAAAAACGTTTTTTAATTATACATATAATTATATGTCAATCAATTATATACAAAACGAAATATTTGTAAAAATAAATTACGCAATGATATAATAATTCCATTATTGTTGTTATTATAATGATATTTGTAACGCGATGGTGCAGAAAAGAGTATATATTATTAATTTTGGATTTTCGCTTAAATATATGTTAGATTGCCATTTATAAAGTACTATTTGTAAATCGACTATAGTTAAATAGCTGCTCATTACAGAAATAAATGACACAACACAATCTCGTAAAATCTAAACTTTTATATTACATGGAACTTTTGGTCTTTTGCCAAAAAATATTGAATGCATCAATATATAAGAAATTATAAATGTCAATAAAAATTTTTATATTTATTGAAAAAGGCTATTTTATTCAGCAAATGCAACAGTAATTTGAAAATATATAGATAGATAAATAAATAAATCATTTTTTAAAATAATTTAATATAAATAACATTTTAATATAAATTTATATAAACTACATCTCGATATATGGCTTTTTACATTTAGATAATCAGAAGTAATTAATTTATAATAAATATATGTATATAGAAAATGCATGCACACACAAAAGATAATTTAGTTGATAATATGTCAATAAATTTTGATTAATACAAATAATTCTACTTTTTAAATAGATCGTGTGTTATTTGTAAATTAAAAATAACAAGTAACAGAAAGAGGGAGAGAGAGAGAGAGAGAGAGAGAAAATGCTATTATTTTATCACATATCTTTGCCAATAGATTTCGTATATTATTTACTAGTATTTAATAATTTAACGCCTTTAACAGATTAAAAGCAACTGCGTTATACAATACGAATACCATCCTGCATTTGTATGTTCTGTTTCTTACATAAAGATGGATATTTTCATTACATTTTATACTTTACATCATAAAATTGCAGACTTATATAACATTTAATAAAACGGATAAAATTGCTGAATTAATATTACGTTTTATACGAGAAAAATCATTTGTGACAAAAAAGTCATAGAAGAAAATATATAAAAAAAGTTAACTAAAATAAATGAGTAAAAACACTGTACTATAAATAAAAATTATATTAAAATTTTTGCTAATTTGAGATGATAAATAGATTTGAATAAAACTAATCATTTATTAAAGAAATCTTTATATTATAATTTTCTTACTATCATTATTTCGATTACTATCATATTATTAATCATACAAAGATCGTATTGAAACATGAAAAATTCGTATGCTGGTATCATAATGACATTATTTATAGTGAGAGGATAAAGTCTTATTACATATTTATCATTTATTGAGTGACATAAATGAATATCATTAACATCATTGCAATTTCCGCGAGTCTAACAAAATATAGACTTTGGATAGCGGAAACATTTAACTCAAGAATGACTTGCATCAAATTCGAACTTAGAGCAATAAATTAGCAACAAATTAGCACTTAATTATGCACTATGGCCGAACCCGATTTTTCGTGGTGGGGGTGCCAGGTTAATATGGGTATCATATTCGACACACGTGTCAAGATGCGCACACATATAATGCTATACATGAATGGTTTCAGTTATTTACGCCATTCGGCACGTGATATTGCCTTCGCGTCTCACGCGAAAATTGTACGAACGCATATAGAACGATAAACACGTTTATGTTTAGCACGCAATTTTATTTTGAATAGTGCGGAAAAATATCACATTTTTATGTAAATGGAATGTCTCAATTCTTAATATAAACAGCCTATTTTTTAATCAATACAAAATCGATTCTTCTAAAGATGTAAAGAGGAGAAATACAACAGCTTTTTCAATTTTTAATAATTTAACTATATATTATAATGCCTAAATATAGACAATAAAATATTTCTCTTTTTAAATTAATTAAAAAGAGATTTAGTTTAAAATTTGTATTTACATGCAAAGATATTTAAAAATGATAATAATATTTCTCCCCCCCCCCAAAAAAAAATTTTATTATATTTGCTAAAAAAATTCATAGATAAAAATAAAAAACGAGAATTCTGCTATTTTATTCTGAATAGCGTGCATCTTGCGTATAAATATTTAATTCAGCATCGTAGACTATTTAGAGTTTGAAATAAGTACATGTCTAAAACTAAATCGAGAAAAAGATGCCAGTTACATTTAGAACTTCATTAACCTGAGTCATAAATATTTACAAATTCGCGTTATAAGTATAGATTGAAATTAACATAACGAAGAATATAGTTTGATGGAAATTGAATTGCAACCCAACGTTGCATGATTATGTTTGATTTAATTTATAACAAGGCAAAATAATTTAACATTTAATTTTGTACCATGCTTCTATCTATTTTTCTGTATCTTTCATAATAAACAAAAAATTATTCAATTTATTATAATTTTTCCAAAAAAAACTACATAGCATTTTTGATGATTAAAAAAAATTAATATTTCTATCAAGCAAAATCTTATATATAATATATGGATACTTATATATAATATATGAGATAATTTATATATATAATATCAAATTATTATAGATACATAAATAAAATTTGCATGAACAAACAGCGCAATATTTTTTATTCAAATGTTAAACCAATGCATTACAATAAAATAAATATTGTCAAATTTGTTTATTAGGAATTTGAATAAATCAGAGAAAAAATTTGTTATTAATAATTGTTAATCAAAATATTTCTGAAAAAAATATTATAAATATTAGTATAAATTACTATGTAAAAAATTGAACATATAATGCAAATATACAATTTATTTAAAGCAATTTCAAAAATTATTTCAAAGATACATCAATTTTCACATTTTTAATTATCTTAAAACTTGTCATTGTTATCTCCCTTTACAACGCTCTTGTGCTATGATCAATTTACACATCGGTTTGCGATAACTTTGACGAAGAATTCTTTATTTATTGTTGCATTGTGGATAATATTTTTTTATGCAGACCCTGGTTTTGTTTCCTCAATATAAATTATATCGCCAAACGTCTCTCAAGATTTACAAGATTTTCAGGAATCAATTAATAATGCTATTCGTGGACTTTTCATTGTTTCATTATGTTTATTACAAAAAACTTGCATATGTTGTATTTTACTCATACAGTTAGAGAAATTTGAGATACAAAGATTTTAGAGAACTTTCTCACACATATTGAAGAATATACAATATTTTTCTGTCATAAAATTTTTTCTATAAAATTCTTACAAGAATTAAAGCAAATTCTATTTGCCTATAACTCGCGACAAAGCATCAGTTATTAAAGTAAATGAATAAATGATCTCTTTTAACATGTATAATTGCATATGTAGTCACAGTTCAACGTATACATTTATAAATAAGATATTTTTATTGATAATCATATATAAGCCATCCAAAAATTTTATATCGGGCTTCCATACGGAGTATAGAAAAGACCATAGACATAGTATATCTAGACCGAGCGTTTGCCTTTATTTAAGGAGTAGGGGTAAAGATACATGTAGAAAAGGACATACTCTGTTCCGTGCCCCTTGCGTTCTCTCTCGCTCGCACATAGCATAGCATACTCTTTCGCTACGCTACATGCGAGTGAGAGAGAACGCAAGGAGCACGGAACAGAGTATGTCGTTTTCTACATGTACTTTGGCCCCCACTCCTCAACACTCGGTCTAGGTATACTATGTCTATAAAGGTGCCATTACATGGCAGCATCGAGCATCAATGAAATATAATTCTGGGCAACAATATTCTGCGCAGACGCTTAACGCTCGACGCTTGACGCTGCCATGTAAAGGCACCTTAAGACATACGAAAGAACTATCCTGATGTATCATCGATAGGCATCGCTCGACGCTGCCGTTGTTTTAAAATCTACCGCGGAGTTCACCTTCCACGTTCCGTGCGTGGTGGAACGACGCATCGAGCAAGCGCTCGAAGCAACTCACAGCGCATGCGCTAGTATACTGCGCTACGATCAGCCACGATGGTTGATTGTAACGAGATGGAAATGTCGCGTGTGCCAATTCTGGTGATTCTAGGTGCCACGGGCTCTGGAAAATCTCGACTAGGTATCGAATTAGCTCGCCGCTTCTCCGGGGAAATCATCTCGGCCGATAGCATGCAGGTAAGTGTTATATGACGCCCGATTCTCGACATGATACTTCGCGACGAGGTTAGGTGTCCACGACACAACTTTCCAACGTGTTTACGTGTTCATGAAAAACGATCGGAAAAGCGCTATTGTCCAAGTAGCGCTGATTTGATTAAGATTTGCATTAGATTTATATATTTATGCGAATGACTGAATTAAAAACTTTCTCTACTGAGATGCTCTTATACATTTTCAATATTATACGTAGTTTTCAGTATTGACGTAATTATATGTCAAGAGAAGAGTATTGATATAAAAACAAGATAAAGTTATAAATAATGCTTTTAGTTATTCATCGATACTCTTATCAAAATCAAGTCTAATGCGAAAGTATTCGCACATGACAAGAATGCGATTTTGCGAGAAACAATGCCAGAAACTAGGATGTTCTTCCATGTGCGAAATTATATTTCTATTTTTCAATTTAAGAATAAGTCATTTTTTCAAATAATTATAATCTAAAATCGAAATTAGTATCTTTGATAGTAAATATAAAAAATACATTAACTAAATTATTTATTATAAAATCTTATTTGCATTATCCATCACAGTTGGGACATTTGGCTTAAATTTAACATATATTATATGTCCCAAACGCTCCACATTATTTTTTGTGTTAATTTAACATAATATGGATATGTTAAATCGTAACACTAATACTATGTTAATATTTCAACACAAAATGAATGCAAACTTTATAATAATTTGAAATAAATTTTGTGTAAAATCCACATATTTTTAATGATAAAATTAACTTGGAAAAATCTTATTGACGGTCTGTATTCATTCTCACTCCTATTGTAGAATAAAATCAACATTTTTATTCTGTAAATTTTAACAGATGAATCTTGTCATTAACAATATGAAACATATCTATTGTATAAAATTAAAAATATGTGCACATTTTGTTATTTTTACACTTTTTTCAGTTGTCCTAATAATTTAACATTTGAGTTCAATTAACACAACAGCAATATGTTAAGGATGTTTTGGCTGTATAATAGTAGTACAAAACTGTCAAAATAAAAAGAAAATATATTTCTTATGTTTATACTGTTTGAAAAATCAAATAAATAAATTTGGATTATAAAAAGAATTAAAGTATCACAAAATAATATGGTTTTTTAAGGCCTCCATAAAAAAAAATAATTATAATTAATATTTTTCCTAATTTATGAGAAAAACTTTTAATATCCCCTGAAATCAACTGTAAGAAACAAAAAAAAACCGAATAATTTGCAGAAAGAGAGAGAGAGAGAGATAATATTTTTCTACAATTTTTAGTAAATAACTTTTAAACAAGTAAGTGTAAATCAAGTTTTGCACAAATATTTATTAGAATTTTTTTAATATATGTGAAAATTTTTATTTCATTGGCAATGTTTTTTCCTTGTTAAATTTGTCAATAAGTGCTAGAATACGCGATTTTTCATAAGAATCAATACTAACTTTAAACTTAAATAATTTCCAACCCGTTAAGAGAATTGTGTTCAGGTTTTGCACAGATACTCAGAACGAAATAGTAGAACAATCTACGAAATTTTGTCTATGCTTTTGTCAATGTTTTGATATATGACACATACATTCTTAAATTAACACATGAATGTTTTAAATATTTAACACAAAAATTTTATTAGGCATATTGTTTAACAAGAAAACACCAATTTTCTAACAGTGATTATACATATCTATCAAATATATATATCTCTCAACTTTAGTTTTCTATAAATTTTCTCTCAATTTATCTTTCACATGACGATTGTTATGATGACTATCCGATATTGCTTATGATGTCATGAATAAGCGTAAGTTATTCTTGCAAGTTAAATCCATCTGTAGTGGCTGTTCTTTAAATTGGTTTAACGAGGCACTTGGTGAGAGCAATTCGCGGAAGAAGAAAAGTAGTGCTTTCTCTCTTTCTCTTTCATAAATCACGTTTCGACATCGGTGGCATAAAATGATGATAAAACACACGTGAGAAAGCTCTTAAACAGTATTTATGTTTTCACGCGACAGTTATGGATTTCGACGTATCTTGTAACGGTGTAAACAATATGTTTTGTTATCGTCAACGTGTCATTGTTTTATCGTCATCGTATTTATCTTAATTTTCGTCGTCGTCTGCTAAATAGTGATAGTCACGCATTGAGTTTTTACTAAGGAAAAGTTTTCTTAAAAAAAAAAAAATAATCAGGCCTCAAAATCTGATATATTAAATAGGTGCATAAATAAAACATTTAATTAATGTCTACGCACACGCGTGGGTAGATTCTTCGTTTTTCATACGACAATGAATCCTTTTTGCGAGATCGTAGAACGCGTATGCTTCGCGTGGAAATCGCGCACGTGGCCTATAAAATAACCGTTTTAATTGTCTCGCACATATACATATGTTAATACACGCGAGTCGGTAATCTAATCTCACGGCCTTGACGCGAGGGTCAATCGCAGGCGTTGTCCTTCATATAAATCGAATTCTGTCAACTCTCGACAGACTTGTCGCAGAATTTCCGATTAAGTATATTTCCGGCGAATTAATAACGACCACGTGTTGTTGTTACAGTCTAAAGTCAATCATTCTTATACTTGCCTGTTTTTTACTTGTTTTTAATAAATCAATTTTGTTTTTCTTTTTTTTTTTTTTGCATGCATACATATAGTATTGGCAATTAATTTACGAATAATTATAAAAAATTCAGCTTTGAAAAAACAATTTACGATCGGATATTTTTTTATAATAACAGCAATAGATTCAGGGTAAGAACAATTAAATGGGAAAACTGGCAGATAAAAGCCAAGGCGTGGGTATTGGTGCACGAACTTATTATTGTTAAATTTTATTAATTAATGTGATTATATCGTAAACCATCGACGATATACGTGTGGCGATGGCGTTTACACCTTATCCACTTATTTGTACAGATTCCACGCGGGTTCTAATGAGCCGTCTTTCTGATTATTATTTTTAATTTGAGATTTAATTGCAACTGCAAATATCAAGTTTTAAAATTTAATCTTTATATATTTATATCTTTATATATTTATATCCATGTTGAAGAGGACCAAGAAACGGCCCGAAACGTACATTTTTGATGCACATTAATTAATAAAATTTAACAATAATAAGTTCGCGCACCGATACCTGCGCCTTGACAGATATTTTATATTTAAGAATTAATTTAAATGTTGATATTAATATTTATGCTTCTAATAAAAAAATATTTTTAATTAGGAGTTTATTTACATGAAGGACTGATTTATATAAAGAAATTGTTATTTTGCACTAAATTTTGTAAATTGTTTCTAGACATAACTTATATTCTAAAGAAATCTATTCTGCTGCTGGATAAATGAAAAAAGAATATATGTATATCAAAAGTATGATATTATATAAGATGTTAAGTTGTTCTTCAGATTCGCCTTTTGAGCGATGTATTTGGGAATTGAGGCGTTTTTAAATAGAGATTTATTTCCAACCATTGACATGTATCGCTGACATATAGCAGTCATTTTTCTTGAGATAGAAGATTCTCAATATGATTGTGTTAGTTTAATGATCTCTGAATTTTGGCACGTGTTTTTTAATATCCCCTCTTTCATAATAAATAAGAAATAGTAATGCGAGAAATGTGATCTTTTCATACACGCACACATACAATAGAAAATATTTCAGGGATATCAATAATATATATTTGTTTTCAATCGTTATAGTTCTTTCATGTTTAATCTTGCAGCTCGCTTTTAAATCTCGATTTTGATACTTGAAATTATCATCTCTTTTGCCCACGAGAAAAACTCTACAACGTACGCTCGACTTTCGTAGTCTAGTAGGTAGTTTCTCGCCTTCGCATTTATTTCTGTATCTTTTTCACACGGAGTATCTCGGCTCCAATTTCTTTTTCCGCCATGCGTGACTTCACACGCGTGCATAAATCATGTGCTCCAGAGGCGGTCACGTCGCGACGCCTACACACGCGTGCCGGAAAAAAAAGATCTGCAAATTTTTGCCTTCGTAGACTGTCGATTCACACGAAACTTCAAACGATGCGGCCTCGCTTGGGGAATCGCGATCAGTACCGGGATTGTTTCTTCTCGTGGCGAGCGAGAATCCCTTGGGGACACATCTCGCACGACTCGCACGAAAAGGTCTTTAATCTTCATATGAAGCCTGGCTCTGATCGCGCAAGATACACGTAATAATAGTTATTGAATTTTTACTAAGAAATTTGATTAGATATTTTCATTTTTATTAGATGTCTTTTCTTCTCTCACAGAGATATCTCAAATTATCTGAAAAAAATATATTTTGCTACCCCTGTTTAATCTCTTAATTTTAAAATAGTCATTATAATTAAATTCTGCTCTATTCGTAATTTAGAAGAGCATATATGTTTTTGACTATTTCTGTGTGATGAAACTTCTTTCTGAATTAATGAAATTGAAATTTCAACCAAATGCCTAGAAATCTAATTTGACTAGAAACGGGCTAAATGGACAGATATACGCCGAAAATGATTCTCCTAGAAATAGATAGATTAGTATTTCCCAAAATATTCAGCGTGTAGAATTTTAATATTGCTGTTAAGGAGGCGCGTTGGAATTCCAACGAAATATTGCGAGTGAGTCTCTTGTGAATATCCATTAAGATGATGGAGTTAATAGAAAGCCGCAAAAGTTCTTGACGATTCATAAAAATGTCACGAGATTTTATTAGAATTTATAATCAACTATTCTGAAATCACGTGTCTCATAAAAAAGGTGACGTTATAAAATCACAAATATATAAAATAGAAGAATCTTCACCGATTTCTTCAATATTTACGAGATTTCGTTAATGAAACTTATATTTAAGAATTACGTTTTTTTAATCGAAAGATAATCGAGAATTACAGCCTAAATATAAAAACTATTTAGTCTATTTTATAACACTAGAATTATGTATGATAAAATCGCATAGTTTTTCTAATTTCATA